TGACAGTTCTTCAGTGGAGAGGGTTTTAAAGAATAGGTATTTTATATTTTTGTTACTGTTTTTAAATTGGCTCACACTTGAGAGGGGTTAGAAAGCATTCTAGCAGTAGTAGAGTTCTTGATATTTTGGAAGAAATGGAAAAGAAAACAAATACAAGGTTCATAAGAACTGGGACATTTCCACCTTTATCTTCAGTGCATTTGTGGGATGGTTCAGTGTTGAATTGTTGAATGAAGCGACTGAGTGGATGCGTGAATAGAAAGTCACAGGAAGAAAGCTATTTGAGGAAATTCACATTACTCAGAAAGTGTGGGAAATTTTTGAAGCAGAACAATTCCTTCCAAGCAGAAAGAAAGAGTGCTGCAGATATGTTCCCACCAAGTAAAAACATCAACAGAAAAAGCAAAAACAATTTGTTCATTCTACAAAGGCTTACCTATTGTTTATTATCTTATTTACAACCAAACTAAAAAATATTAATCTCTTCCCCATCAGCTTGTGGAGTTAAACATAGTTGAGTTTTAAAAATATCCAGAAATTGTGGTTAGTGTTACATCATTTCTCCTGGCAGGATGGAGTGGTGGAGTGGAGAGAGAGGGACAATTGGAGGTCCAGCTTTCATCTTAAAAATACATTAGTAAATGTGCCTGAAAGCACATTTACAGCTCACACTGCTGTAACAAAATCCTAGATGCCTTAAATGATACACTTCTGTTTCTCATGCTTCTCAAGACTGCATAGTAGCTCAAGATCAAGCGAGTAGACTCAGTAAGGGCCTGCCATTTTAAACAATTGACTTCCACAGACCTCCCCATCTCCAAATGCTATCACAGTTGTTTTTTTAAATATATTTTTATTGTGAAAATACTGTACAGAGGGGTTAAAATTACATGGGCAAGATAATGAACACATTTCTTATCAAGCATTGTAGCCTTCCTGTCCCTTCGTATCTTTCCCCACCCCTGCCATCCTCCCCCACCAAAGTTGTAAAGTTCGTTTTTCTACATAACGACTGGTACATCTCATTGTTGCAATGGGTCCTCCTGTATCCCTGTTTTTACAGTTTGTTTTTTTCCCTTCCCCTCCACATATACCAACATCATTTATAGTGAAAGCGGGGGTTGTACCATGGGGGAGGGACATACAAGGCAACAAAGACATAATCTTGTAAATATATCACAGTTGTTTTAACCTGAGGCTTGGTGGGAAAGAGTTAGCACAAACATTTAGTACTTAACATTGTAATATAAAACAGAGAAGAGCAAGAGACTCATGGTGTAAGTTTTAAGGGGAGCGTAATCTCTATGTGCCAAGATGTCGTTTCTCCTATGCATTCAAAGAATAAATGAATAATATTAGCAAATAAAATTTGTATTGCAAGATTAATAGGTTATTTTTATGGACAGGTAGAAATATGCCTTATAAAAACAACCCCGACTTCAAAAACCACAGTCATTTCTCTTTTATTTAACTAGGAGTAATACCAAATGTGAAAATTTATCAAAGGTTGATCTTTAGCCTCTATGGAATTGTGTTCAAAATATTCTTTTCCCAAGAGTAGATTATACCTTCCTTTCCTTGCTCCTGAAATATCTTGAGAACCACAAGCTATCTTGCATGAATTATCTAAATTTGAAACGTAGAAACTGTCAATTGAAGAGAATTGATTAAAATAGACTTTCTGGATTATTCTCGACTCTGGATTTGCCTAGAGGTAAGGAATAGTTAACAGTGTGCTTCTCTTTTAAGGATTAGGTTAAATTATTAGCAAGGATGGATAACTATTATTATCATTCATTGGGAGCAGAATATAAGGTTAAATTTTAATTGAAAGATGAGTATAGGTGGGGAGGAAAGGGATGGTAGGGGCAAAACAAAGGAAGGGGTAACAATGCTCCATAAGAAATGGACTCATTACCTTGCTCATGTAACTGTAAACCCTCTGTACAGTATCTTTACAATAAAAAAGAAAGATGAGTATAGATGTGTAAGGATTATGAATTCAAGATGCAAAGGGGCTAGTTTTGCTTATCATAACATGTCAACAATGACCATTCCTTCTTTCTGTCTCAGGGCTGTGCTTGCATGTTCTCAGTAATTTAAACTGACCAGTGCTTACTTAAGGACATACATTTAGTCAATGGTATTTCTACCATTAGTGGCTTTGCCCATCAGAGTTATAGAGAAGCATGCAATACACATGATTTGAAATTACAGACTTCTGACTAAAAATAATAATTTCTACCATTATTACAATTTATTTCCACTTTCAGGAGAGACCAGTTTTCTACTTGGTGATATTTTAATGAAAAAGAATAGGAAATTTATTATTTGTAAGAAAGGAGATTCTTTAAATCGTTAATTAAATTTAGTTCTTTCTGCTAATCTGTGAAGGTCTTTCGTTTATATATAACAAAGTTTTAATTTAAGTTAGAATTCCATACCACATCCCTAAATTGTTTTAGTTTTCCTATATGCAAACTCAGCTCTCCCTCACCCTTCATATTATTAAGGTATATTAAATAGAATACTTTATTCCTTTTGGGAGCTATTGAATAGCAATAGTTTTACCTATAGAGAAAGAACAGAAGTAGCAAATGTATTAAATTCTCAAGTTTAAATGTGCAGCCCTATACATAGCTCCTCTATATTGAACTTATACAAGCCTCACCAATGAATTTTCTGGAAGTTTTAAAGAATGTTAAAATATATATTTCTTCTAACAATATCAATAATGTATAAAATTACTATGTCTACTTCTCTAGATATACCTTCCTTAAAACTCTACCAGGGAATTTTCTATAAAGAAATAATATTTATATACCCCTTTCAGAAATTTGCAAAAATAAATTATTAGATAACAGAGCAATCTTTGTTTTAAAGTTATCATTTTCCTTTTATTTTCTCAAGCAACAGCAATTATCAAAAAGCTTTAAGAGGGCTGGGAAGTTGGCTCAGTGGTAGAGCACTTGCCTTTCATGATGAGGCCCTGGGTTCAATTCCTCAGCACCACATAAGCAAAAAGAAAAAAGCCAGAAGTGGCGCTGTGGCTCAGGTGGTAGAGGGCTAGCCTTGAGCTGAAGAGCTGAGGGACAGCGCCTAGGCCCAGAGTTCAGGCCCCACGACTGGACCCAAAAAGAAAAAGTTTTAAGATGTTTAAGCAAAGTATGAGAAGGTTCAGGTTAGAGTTTTAATAGGCCAAATGCCATCTGTTTCTACAATTTGTAACATTTTATTATTAACAACTCCAGAAGAAGGAGGCGGTCTATTTTAGTGGTGAGGACAGATTTCTGTCCATCTGTGCCCATATTGCCGCATGTCACTTGTACTTTAGCTCTGCATAGCTCAGAGCCAACGAAGATGCCGTGGCAAGGTCAAGAGGTGGAGAAGCCTGTCAGCACATTCTGTTTCTAAGGCTATGACAACTGCAAACAGGCACCTCCTGTCCCACCCTGAGGCTGTCATTCTGCCAGGCCTTGGAGCTGGGTCTCCCATAATACCATCTCAATAGAAAATGTTAACTTTAAACATTGAGAAATACCAAAGGACTTAATCCACCATGTGAGTCTGCTTAATGTCAGGGTCCTTATGAAGTGGCTTACTCTCAATCTTTGAATATATGAATTGTTTTCTGGTGGTTTTCCTTACTGTTCTTTCCCTTGGCATATCTGTTTGTGTGGAGGGGACAAGAATGCATGCAGAACTCTTATTTTAGTGAAAATTATGTAAACAAGAGTGCAGTGGGTTAAGATTGAGTTTAGATACTTTGAGATGTGGTAGGTTGATTGTTAACTACTTGTTCTTCTTTTAAAAAAAAAATCTTAATATTAGGTAAGCCAAGCTCATAGAGACAAAGGGCTCATATGTTTCTGTCATATGCAGAAGCTGGATCTAAAATACAATGGTACATGATAAATTATATAAGACTCTAGGCATTCACACACAGTGAGACCAAAGGAGGATATTCTCAGAGGAAGAATACAAAGGCACAATGCCTATGTGCCTCTGATCATAAAACATAATTATCTAATGAACTGTAGGAAATGTAAATTCGATTTTTTCTTCTTTGTTGCTTTTGTTTTCTTTTTTTGTTTTGTTTGTTTATCTTTGAGTAGCCAAGGACTAGGCACAGAAATGGAGGGACAAAGGGGTGAACACATGCAGCAGTGGTACTCACTAGATACAATGATGGAAATGAACTATACAACTTGTGGGTGGGAACAGGAGGGGAAAACTGGGAGAGAGTGAGGGAAGGTGTGACACTATCCAAAAGTAGATATATTTATATCCTGACTTATGTAACTGTGACCCCTCTGAGCATCACCTTTATAATAACAAAAAATTGAAGTTTTAATATTGATTAGCAGATCAAGAAAATGTAAAGTACACACACATACACACACACACACACAAACATATATAAACAGTCAGACAGTAGAATTTTAGTCATGGATCAAAAATTACATTATTTACAGGAAAATGGACCTAGAAAAAAAATATATTAACTAAAGTAAGTCAAACTCAGAGTGAAAAACAGCACTTTTTTATTATGTGAAAGTTAAATCTAAAATACAAAATACATGAGAACATATATGGAGGATTATGTGCCTATAAATGCAAACAAATTGACAGAAGAATTGTATTCTCAGCAGAGGAGTCCAGTGGCATCACACCTCTGAACAACTAATGAACCATTTAATCAATTAGCAAAATGTATGAGGAGGATAGAAAGAGAGGACACGTGGTGGGAGGAGGTCTGAGAACCCACAGTCATTATGTTCATTGTTTATTATGTGAACTTTGAACTAGAGGGTAGGGATGGGAAAGGGAAAGATGGAAGAGAAGAGAAGAGAAGATCTTGGCTCAAGATCCAGTGTATTGTACTCATAACCAGACTTGTGGAATTGAAACTCCTTTGTACAACTTCTTAACTAACGATGGTAATGTTAATAGTAATAATGTCTTAATATCTAAGTGCAGACTGTTTCTTCTCCCCAAAGTGCTTATCAGATTGTCGTGGAAGAACTGCACCCACATCGAACCAAGAGAGAAGCCGGGGCCATGGAATGCTATCAGATTCCTATCACCTACCAAAACGCCATGAGCGGGGGTGCACCTTATTACTTCGCTGCAGAACTACCCCCCGGGAATCTACCTGAGCCTGCCCCATTCACGGTGGGTGACAACCGCACCTATCAAGGCTTTTGGAATCCCCCTCTGGCCCCACGCAAAGGATACAACATCTACTTCCAGGCAATGAGCAGCGTGGAGAAGGTGAGCTTCCTCTCAGATTTGCTTGATCTCATTGCTCTGAGGAAAAGCCAGTCAGTAGCATTTATCAAGAATTTATTTTTTTTTAAAGAAAAGAAAAGAGAATCAATGTGTGGTGGGTGGTGTTGTTGCTGTTGCTTGTGACAGTAAGCACAGTTTGGGACTGAAAGAAGGCCAGGCAACATGCCAGTTACATTTCACAGATCCTGTTTCCTAGTAACTACTGCTACTTGAGTCTGCTTCAGGAAAGCCTACAATGGCAACTGTGAGTAAAATGATTTGGAAAAAAGTGGGTGTACTGTAGCCCAGGCTCCACCCTGAGTAATTTTCCCTGCATTGTTCTCTGACTTGCTCCATAGTGGCACACTTCAGAAGATTAAATTTACTGCAGGATAAACAGAGTGTGTGTTCCACAGTGGGTTAATAAACCCTTATAAACTTTTAGGGGGTACAAGCCAAATAGCACATAACAGGTAACAATCCTCTGATTACAAACTAACAGGATGCCTGAGCTATAGCTGACAGAACCTACACAGAAGGCTGCCTGGTGATGGCTGATGCTGTGCTGTTACACAAGTTGGCTTTCCAATTCCCCCGCCGCCCCTCCTTTTTCCAGGCTGCCCCTCCTTTTCCCATCTTGGACACAGTTGTTTTTGAACATTGCTGCTTGAACCCAAATGAATATTGAAGAGAAAAACACAACAGGACATTAGAAACTACACCAGTGGTTCCCATATGTAGAGAAACAACCTGACCTCATGCTGTTTCTTTTTGAAAGATTTCTTTCCTAAAACTTTTATTTATGCCTTTATTTATTTATTTTGTATTTTGGCAGAGAGGTATAAGGAAAAAAAATCTTTGAAAATAGAAACTTGCACAATTTAGAATCCAGATGAGTGCTGACATTTTGAAAAACTTATAACTATGTAAAAAAGTGCTGCATTTGTATAATTGAGTCTCCTAAAGTGAGCACTGGAGAGATAACATAAAACTGGGTTCCAGTGGCTCACTCCTGTAATCTTAGATGCTCGTGAGAGGCTGACATCTGAAGGTCAGCATTTGAAGCCAGCCCAGACAGGAAAGACCTTGAGATTATAATCAATTAAACACCAAAAAAAAAAACCAGCAAAAAAAACAAGTGGAGTTATGGCTCTAGTGGAAGAGTGCCATCCTTCTAAACAAAAGTTAAGAGACAGATCCTGAGCCCTGAGTTCAATTTCCAGATCACAACAAAAGAAAGAGAGAGAAAGGGAAGGGAAGGGAATGAAAGGGAAGGGAAGGAGGTAGGGAGGAGGGAAGGAAGAGGGAAAGGAAAACTGTGATACCCAATTTCATCAATCTTATTATATCTTGGAATAGCATAATTGGAAGACATAGCTCATTTTTGTTTCTGCAGAGGCTTTAAGAACTTGGGTACTGATTAGCTGTTTTACATGAAAGCTGTATCTTTCTGCTTGCCAATGGGGTTGGCTTGCAGTATACAATAAAAAAAAAAAATCCTGCCAAAGCATGTCCTAAGATATTCTATAAAGCCAGAGGCTGTTCATCGTTGATGCTCTGCCTTCTTTGATGGCAATGGGAATCTTTGGAGGCCACACCTCCCTATCTATCCTTCAAAGCATTGGTGGTACAACTAGGCTTCTCAAGTAAGAGATTGCTATGAAAGTGATTCATCTATCCTGAGCACAAATACCGTAAAGGTAGAAAACACAGTTCAATGTTTGGGTTTTCATCCTTGGATAAGTGAGCTTCCAAACTAACTGTTGTTGCCTGGTCTGAGTATTAATGAATGTCTGTTTCTTGCAGTGTATTCTCTCTCATTTTCTTTAACAGTTTAGATGTAACTTCCCCCCATCATTAAATCAAATCAGAGAATTAGTAATATATCTCACAATATTCTTAATGAAGAGTTTTTCATTTGTTATCCCTCCCACCCCAGCAGAGGCTGGTAATGCCTACAGAGCATCAACAGAGATGGCTTTTAGGAAATCAGAATTTCTTTGGGCCTCTATGAGAGTGTGAAATATTCTTTCTTTTCCTTCTTTTTTGTATTCCTTTCTTAGTGCTTTGTTTTACTTAATTTCAAAATAAATGCTTAAGAAGAAATTATAAATTCTCGTGTTTTATCAACATATCTAACTATTCAAGGTGCAGTTATAAATGAATCTTGAAAACAAACATCCTGTTTCAGAAATAAAACCTACTCCATGTAAGTGAGAGTTGACTGTGAAGGGGGAAGGAATCAACAGATTAAAGGAAGCCATAATCAGGTCCTGATCCAGGGATAGACAAAATGCAACTTATCAGGGACTTAGAAAGCTATCCCCACTGGGAGGCACATCTTTACAAAACAGGAGAATGCCCACATTCTGTGGCAGAAGGAAGGGAGTTGCACGCTAACCTTCTCAATCAGTGTACCAAGGCTTCTTAGAAATCTATTAACATGTTAAGAAACAGCCCAGGTGCCACAAAGCATTGGCACAAAGCATTTGGCTGGCTCTCTTAAGGTCTATAGGGTTTAGGATGTATGCCTGAAGCACCTGGCAGGCAGAATGGAGTTGCAGCCAAGATGGTTGTAGTTAGAGCAACATGGGTCTTTCAAGCCTCTGTTTGTGCCTTGGCTTTGACTTCTAACTAATTATTTGTTAAAAATAGACACTGAGTGGACTCTAGCTCCTTATGAAGTGAAATTTGGTCCTGAAACTAGCTATGTATCTTTCTACCATGCAACTATGTAAATAAAATTATAATAATTCTTGTCCCTTCATCTTTTGCTTTTACTGTTTCTACTCTGCCTAGCAAGAGGCAGAACATGAAAACTTTCTAGGACTTAGCAGCTAAATTAAAAGAGCAGACAAATTATGCTATAAATGGTAAGCAATATTTTGATGATCTTTCTAGAGACTACCATTTAGCTCTTTAGTCACATAGGATTCAAGTTGACAGTATCTGAGTCTATATCTTCCTATCTGAGTCTATAGCTAACAGATGAAAATTAAATATTTAGTTCTGACTTTAGCCTCGCAGACACATTTTTTTTTCTTTCTGATAGCTTAAGAAGCAACAATAAATGCAAATAGCAGACTATACTACTTGTCACCAGCAAGCCAGCTAGTATCACAAATTGAAAGCAGACATCTACATCCTTAGAAAGTTCTTGAATTTTTAAGCTTTTACGTTAGATTGTCTTTTCTAATTGCCAGTAGCAGAGCACCAGTAGTCATGCCAGTAATACCAACTACTCAGGAAGCTGAGATATGAGGATTACAGTTTGAAGTCAGCCCAGGCAGTAAAGTCCATGAGATTCTTCTTATCTCCAGTTAGCTACCAAAAAAATGCTAGAAGTGGAGCTCTAGCTCAACTGGTAGAGTGTTAAACACAAGCAAAAACAGCTCAAGCCTTTAGACCAGCACCCAAAAAGAAACAAAGGAACAACAACTAAAAACAAACAAACAAAAAACAAGAAGCATGATGTTTGGCAGTTGTCTGTAGTACTAATTGTTTGGGAGGGTCAAAGTTCAAGGTCAGCCCAGACAGAAAAGTTCTTGATACTCCTTCTCAACCCATCCTTTGGTGCAGTGGTATGGGCTCATTTTCTCAAGGTAATTTAGAGGCTGAGAATGGAAGAATTTCTGAGAGTATGTATCAAAAAAAAAAATCTTAATACTGTGTCTGGTGACAATCATATGTTATGACCCCATTTTGGTCTTGGAATAAAGTTTGTGAAAGAGGATATTATCTTTACATTGACTATGTTATTTCATTTTACTTTACCAGGAAACTAAAACCCAGTGTGTACGAATTGCTACAAAAGGTAAGGGGTTTGTTTCCTTTTTTGTAAGCTCTATTCATCTCCTTTCTAAAATGAAAGAGCTTTGTTGCTAGTGCCAAGCTAATTAAATGTGGCATTTCTATTACAGAGTATTTGTAGTGGGGCTCACTTAAAGCACCAGAGAACTTCTCAGACTCACTTGGCTGTCTTTACACATCATGGGTGCTACATTCCATCCTCTAGTACTTAACTGAAGGAATCTTGTTAGGAGAATAGAAAGGATTTAGAAAAACCGTAGAGGGCTTTCTTCTGTCCTTGAGTACCTAAAAGGTTTGTGTTACCTATCAACGACTCTCTTAAGAAAACTCAGCAACAGCAGCTCAAAATAGCAAGTTGCTTATTTAAAAACCTCTATTTGCTTTCTGTAATAGATGATCAAACCTACAAGGACAAAGCTAATGATACATGAGGTGTGGGTTTGGAGGTTGTTCTATAATTTTATCAGTAGTTGTAGTTGGGCTGTAAAGGGTCTTGGTTGGTTTGTGAAAAAAATTATTTCTGTAATGGCTAATAATCAAGTCAATTCTTTCCAACCCTGCTGATTATTACTTAGACTGGCTAGTTTTTTGGCAGAAAACAAATATGTAACATATATAAATATGTATATGTATATATATGTATATGTATATATATGTATACATCTATCTATCTATCTATCTATCTATATATATATATATATATACACTTTGGCATCTTTGAAAGAGTATTTGGAGTTCAATGTGAAGAAAAATTCCCTGTATTTAAGAGTCATTTAAGAGTCATTCGATTGTGCCAACAAACAGAGATGGTTACTTAGTATATTATAGCAAGAAAAAGAAGATAAAACTGTCTGCATGCATTTGTGAGACTCCTCAGGGTTGGTTTTCTGGAAGATTTGTTGTCAGAGTTAGTATTAGACCCACATTTTTAAGCATTAGTTGATTCATCTGGGGGGAAAATGAATAGCCATGTTCTGTTCATGTTGGCAACTTTCTATTCGTTATTTTACTCCATCCAGTCACCAATATGCTCAATTTGTTCTACTCTAAATTTGTAAAGGCAACAAAGGCCTTTTTCTTTGGCTCATGAGACTTATAAGAATCTCTCAGAAGAAAAAATACATTTGTTCAATGCAAATATGAAGATTCTTTCTAATGGTTAAAATACACAACTCGGAGAAAACATCTGAAAATGTATAGGCATTTATTTCAAAATTTCAGCCAATGGATCAGGAGTTAAAGTTTGCATAAGTTAATAGAAAAAGACATTTAGATATGTATCACCTGTGCCTTACCAGATGTGAAATAGAGACATGTAAAATGAAATATGAAAGGTTTCACATCTGCTGGTAAGAAAGTTCTGAAGATTGGATAATGGTGTATTTCCATAGCAGAGGAAAGAAAACTATAAGTTATTCTGACATTTTAAATTTTCCTACTCATTTATTTGTTTTTGCATGAACTGTTTAAGTGACATTTTGTTTCTCTCTGAGGACAAATAAAAGCATAGTGACAAATAGTATATACTATTAGACATGGTTGAGCTCACAGAAATCGACCTTACTGTGTGGCATAGAATGTTTTCCAGTTGGTCAGAGTCCAATGGAGGCCATTCTTCTTTGTCTAGTGAGATGTTCCAGCTGTATTTCTGTACCCAAGTTAACAGAGTGATATCATGAGTAAGACAAGGACTTTGGCCTTGTACTACCTGGTTCAAATCTTGATCTTATGCCTCTGAGTAGTTGCTTAGCATAGCAAAATTATAAAAGCTCTCATCCTCCAAATAAGGTTAATTAGAGTACTTCCTCTTATGATTATGAGATTTTGAGACTAGTATATACAGTTGTCCCTCATCTGAGATTTTGCTTTTCATGGTTTAAGTTACCTGTGGCCAACCATAGCTTAAGAATATGAAACTGAAATTTTTCAAAATGGAACAATTCATAAGTTTTCAATTGCATGCCATTCTGAATAGCTTAATGAAATTCCTTATCATCTGTCTCTGTCCGTCTCATGCCCTGAATCTTTTCTGTGTCCAGTGCATCCATGCTGAATATGCTCCCTCCTGCCATTTCTTCCCTTAGCAGCACCCTCTTGTCACATCCACTGTTAGAACTGTAGTGCTTGTATTCAAGTATGAGAGCATGGATGCTAATAATACTTTTATAACATAATATATTGTTATAATTGTTCCATTTCATTATAATTGTTGTGAATGTTTTACTTGACTTATTTATAAGTTAAAACTTTATCATAGATATGCACATAGAGAGAAAAACTCTTTGGTTTCAGTATTGACTATGGTTCTTTTTTTAATTTTATTTTTTTGTGAATATACTGTACAGAGGGGTTACAATTACATGGGCAAGATAATGAGTACATTTCTTATCAAGCATTGCAGCCTCCTCCTTTGTTTACCCTCATATCCTCCAGCTTCCCCCCTGCTTCTCTAACAATCTCCCCCCCGACCGCACAAAGTGGTAAGGTCCGTTCGACTGCAACTTGTACTTCTCATTGTTGCAACAGGTCACTGTATCCTTAAACGACTTGTTTTTCCCCTTCTCCTCCACAAATTATACTGACATCAAATATAGTGAAAACAGGGATTATACTGTGGGGGAGGGACATACAAAACAACAAAGAAATAATCTTATAAATGCATTAGAAACAAATGCATGAAAAACATTTTTATCTAAGGGTTCATTTTCCTGACATCACATTATCTGACCTTTTCTGCTTGACTCATACATATACTAGATATTGCAAATAAGGGAAACCATGGGACCTATGTTTCTTTGGGCTTGGCTTACTTCACTTAATACAATTTTTTCCAAGCCTTTCCAGTTCCTAACAAATGGATAATGTCATTCTTTCTGATGGAGGCATAGAATTCCATTGTGTATATATACCACATTTTCTTAATCCATTCATCTACTGAGGGGCATCTGTGTTGGTTTCGTATCTTAGCTATAGTAAATAATGTTGCAATAAACATAGTTGTGCTGGTAGCTTTAGTGTGGTCTTGTTTGTAAACATTTGGGTAAATGCCCAAAAGTGGGATTGCTGGGTCATAGTGGAGCTCTATGTGAAATCTTTTGAGGAACCTCCATACTGCTTTCCAAAGTGGTTGAACAAGTTTAGACTCCCACCAACAATGAAGTAAGGTTCCCTTCTGTCCACATCCCCTCCAACATCTGTTGTTATTAGAGTTCTTGATTTTTGCCATTCTAACTGTGGTGAGGTAGTACCGCAATGTTGTTTTGATTTGCATTTCTTTTATGGCTAGGGAGGTTGAGCATTTCTTCATGTGTCTATTGGCCATCGTTCTTTCTTCTTCAGAGAAGTTTCTCTTTAAGTCTTTCGCCCACTTATTTATTAGACACTTGTTTCTTTGAGATTTGTTGTTGGGGGATTTAATTTTTTGAATTCCAAGTATATTTTAGATATGAGACCCTTGTCCGTTGTATGGCTAGTGAAGATCTTCTTCCAGTCTGTGGGCTTTCTATTGATCTTGCTAGCTATGTCCTTTGCCATGCAGAAGCTCTGTAGCTTCATGCAATCCCGTTTGTCCAACCTTTCTTTGATTTGTTGTGTTTCTGGGTCTCTATTAAGAAAATTTCGGCCTGCGCCAAGGAGACCTAGGGTTTCTCCTATTCCATCCTGTAATGTTTTCAGAGTGTCTGCTTTGACTCCGAGGTCTTTGATCCATTTGGAGTTGATTCTGGTGCAGTGTGATATATAAGGATCTAGCTTTAGTTTTCTACATGCAGTTAACCAATTTTGCCAGCACCATTTACTGAAGAGGCTGTCTTTCTTCCATTCTATTGTTTTAGCTCCCTTATCAAAGATTAGATGGCTATAGGTCTGTAGGTTCATTTCTGGGTTTTCAATTCTATTCCATTGGTCCTGAGGTCTGTTCTTATGCCAGTACCAAGCTGTTTTGGTTACTATGGCTTTATAGTAGAGTTTGAAATTTGGTAGTGATATTCCTCCAGCAGTGTTCTGTCCGTTGAGGATGACTATGGTTCTTGTACATACTTCCCACTCATGGCGGGTGGAAGGGAAGGTTACTATACTAATGTACTGTGTCTAGCATACTGTAAATGTATGTAATATTAGTTGTTGACATATTATTGTTAATATAATAATGCATCATACTGTAGAAAGACATAATTTATTTTATATAAGTGTGAAAGAAATATGTATGAATACCAAAGCAAGCTCACATAGTAGATAGAAATCCAGTTTCTTATATTGTCAGAGTTTTGCCTCGATCTTATGTATATCCTATTCTGAATATTTAACATTTTTTTACTTATGGAAAGACATACTTATTAACGGATCTTTTTTTTTTCTTTTACAGCACTTAGATTTTAAACCCAGAGTTTTATACTTCCTAGGAAGGCACTTCACTATTTGAGCCTTAACTCCAGCTTGTTCTGTTTGGATTATTTTTGATAGGAGGGTTTTTTGTTTGTTTGTTTGCTAGTCTAGTCAGCAGTCCTCCTATTTACATTTTTTGTTATAGCTGGAATGACCTGCTTACACCACCATTCCCAAGGATTTTGTTGATTGGAGCCCTGCAAACTCCATTTGCCTGAGCTAGTCTGGAAGTATCATCCTCCAGATCTCAACATCATACAAGATTTTGCTTTGGTCTGGAAATTTCAATATAAATGTAAAAAATTGTTTTAGTATGACGTCTTCAAGGCACAGTTAATCATTAGAATGCAGAACCATATTGACTGAGAAAAAACATTAAGAAAACTTTTAACAAAGAATTAGCTAAACAGTTAACAAGGGTGCACATTGTTGAAAATTATTAGAACATATGTACTTCCAATGTGGATATACATATAGACACCCAAGTAAATAGTTATTTCCTCAATCTGTAACATAAATGAAGAAGTCATTAAAACTGAATGACCACAAATAGAAATAATGTTAAATGCACACAGGAAGTTCTGGGTTTTGGAAGGTTGTTCTTTATGACATCACCACAGC